TGCTAGCTGAAATCCTAGACCTGGCACTATCCTCAGCGACCCTCGCTCTTCTTGCCGCTGATCTCTCTCTAGCCTCTCTCCGCAGTCTCCTCTCATCTCCTGGGCCTAACTCTAAGAAAGTCAAAGGTCGATTGAGAGCAGTACTACGAGTAGTCCTACGGTCATCCACTAACAACTCCTCCTCACTAGTGCTTGCATCACGCATGAGCTACAGTGTGTGTGATCTAAACTAGAATCCACATTGAATCCAACCTCAGCATGACGCACGACCGAGTACAAATCACAACTAATTTCGGTCGGCCTGAACAGAAACAGTTAGGTGATGTAGTAACAACTAATGTCAGATTCTACAGGAAATATCACATCTATTTTTAGATTACTCTAGAACAGATTGCAATGCAGCAAAGAACTAATATGTCTGCAGCTGTCTGTCAGTTGTTAGTCAAGTGTGTAACAACTAAATAATCAAAAATAATAATAATATCTCCTGTTGGAGATGTATACTGGATGGCAGATTGTCTATTGTTTGCCACTGTGAACACTTACCGGAATCCCCCCGCCCCCTGTATCCTTCTTGAGTTGTCACTTTATGTCAACGTCCTGAGCATCTGGTTGAGCAGCGTGTCTGAAGGTGTGCAATCCGGCCCACCCCTATGCCCCAAGTCAATGCCGAACTTGCCAGCCCCTGCACATTATTTACCCTCGCATGCAACGAGACTTACACCCGATTTGATCTGGCTGATCAGGAGGCATTTAAGAAGATCCCGCATAACTCCTCAAGAATTATTTAACGTCGCAGACAGGATGACGATCACAGCTAGAGTCAACACCGAGTCCCCGCCAGAAATATTTAGAGACGGTCTGGTAAGCGTCTATTCAAAGGGCTGGCATGCCCTGCATGACCTCTATTGCGCAAGCAGCAGAACCAAGGACTTGCAGCAAAGCATGCGTGTATGGTGACCGTGACCCGAGTGCTTCGTCCAGGGCCCTTCAGAGGCTACGCCCGTCTCCCACCAGCTTGCTGCCCAGGAAGAATGTCGACTCTCAAGGTTGAGCGCTCGCGACACCTCACATCAAGAGGACTCTCAAGACAAGACTCACTTCCTCACAATAAGAAGTAAGGAAGAGAGCAACATACCTTATAATGCTGCCCCCAACCACAAATTTCTCACCGGCAACCTGATTTGCATTTATGATGACCGGTCTTTGCCTCGGCACAACCAACAGGAGAATGCAGTTCCACCTCAGCTTAAATGCCACATCAGCGAGCTCTCATCATCTAGCATACACCCCATATGTCACCACATAGCATCCTGGCGCGCCCACGCGACCCTGGGCCGCCTCACATTCCATGCCCAAGCCTTATCATTGCCTCACACTTCATGCGAAGCACTGAACAACTATTGCGAAGAACCAATGAAGCACAATACGAACCAGCTTCGATACCAAATTGCAAGGAAAATGAGCAACAGCAAGGAGAGTTTTCTCTCTCCACACCAACAGTCCAGTCCCTTCACTCTCCTGTTTGGCGCTCAGCGCCCAGCCTACTCCTACACAGCTATTATCAGCCTACTAATTGACAATGCAACTGTTGACATCAGCAACAACCCGAAGTACTTGAAGATGTCGCCCAATGCAGACCATCGCCAATACAAGGTATGTGCCCTCACATCATCATCATCATCCTTCACCCTTCCCTGACTTTACACCCATGTGGTGGCTGGGCTATGGCGCTGCCCTCGACAGCGCCCTTCTTCCCTGCACGACCGCACGTGCTGCACCTCGCCTCTCAGCACTAGCAGCAGCCCACGAGCCTTTGCTCCAGCAGCGCTGCCGCTAGCATGCGAGTGCCTGAATGCCCCTGGCCGAGGAGAGCTCTTTCCTATATGGAAAGAGCTGGCCTGCTCGCACAGCCTGGCTGGGTTGGGCCTGGGCCCAGAAGCTTCCGGTAGGCCCCAGGATGCTGCCCTTGTGTGCAGCTATTGGGCCTCTTGCAGTTGGGCCTCCCGAGTCCCAACTGTCAATGTATGATGCTGCGATTCTGGCCCAGGGCCTGCATTCTTTGGAAAGGCCCAGAAGGCCGCAGAAATGTCTTTGTTGCTCGGCCTGTGTTTCTCTCAACCAACTGGCGCGTCGCAACTGCCTGGACCCCAAATATGAATTTGACAGTCGAGGGCCCCTTCTGATATGTCAGGCCCGCCTTCACTTAGGGCGGGCACTCTTGCAACAGGGGCCCCTCAGGCCTGTCGAGGACCCAGATCCTCGCACGCTGCATCTGGAAGGCCCCAGTTGGGGTAGTCCCCCATCAAGGAAGCTCATGACAGAGTTAGGCATGGCGGTTGAGTGGGCAGCGGCATAGCTGCCTGGTGTTGACCTTGGGACAGAAGAGCAGCGACGTAGCTGCTTTGGGTTGTCCTTTGGACAGGAGGGTAGAACCCTCAATGCTTCGCCATAGCCTTGACCTATATGAAGAGGAAGAGGAAGGGTGGCCATGGCTATGGTGGACCTCATGTTGTGCCTGCAGTAGAAGTGGGATTCAGACATTGATTCTGGTTCAGCCATTCAACATTATTATTGTTATTTCTTGTTTGAATAAAAGGGGAGGAGATACGGAGGAGGAGATTGGTTGGCGAAGAAGAAGAGCCTTGTCATTGGCCTATGCTGGAGTACATCATCATCTTCTTCTTTCTTACTACTTCTTCTTCTTCTTTCCCTCTCTCTCCTCTCAAGTTCATTTATTTCTTTTTGCAATTGGACGACATTGTACTTTCTGATGAATGCATACTTCGAAATCCGCCAGGATTGTAACATTGGTATCAGAGCAGATTCTACTTGCTGGGGAGAGTTGACTTTGCCGCCATAACCCTAACCTAAGTGGTAAGGGCTAACCACTGGGCTGGAAGTTAGGGTTAAGTGGGGCAGCGTGGTAAAGGGAAGCTGCTCCCACCTGGCAGGGCCGTGTAGGGTCGACATTAGACCCGACCAGGTAACTTGAGTGCATGTTTGTGGTGGTGAGACACAAGGTGGGAATTCGTGATGCAACTTGAGAGACGCGACAGTGAAGGGCACCTACAACTTGAATCTGGACTTCAAGGAAGACGAGGAGTGACCCTAGGGCTCCCCTCAAGTTAGGCAAGCTTGAGGGTGGCAGCCATATCTGCACCTACGGACTGCAAGTTGCTACTTTGATGTTCAACATCGATGGAGGGTCCGGCATTGTACTTTGGGGTAGATGTTGACCCTCCTAGATGATAGGACACTAGTGTAGAGGATGCTGATTGGGTCAGGAGGACTATGTGAGAGGGGCCACTCAGGTAAGTGTCGTGCCACCAAGGTCCCTATGTGTGTGTGCATGGAATTGACTGCCTGTTGGGGTATTCTGGGTTCTTCTTCCATCCTCCATAGTCTTGATCGTGTGTGAGGTGTGTGAACTGCTTACTCACCTGATGAGTGAATGCATGGAGTATCTTGCGTGCCATGTTATATCTTTCTACAGTGCTTTATTTATTTCATTCCGAACGGCTGTAGTCTGTTATGGGGCTGAATTTCGTTTTTCAATTTGGTAGGGGCAGAGAGTAGGTCTTTGTGGAACTCTTGTTCGTTGGGACCCGGTTCTAACTCCACTGGGACCATTCGGGACTCAGTGGGACTGGGCCCAAACAAGAAGGGCCCCTCAAGCCCAAATCTGTTGACGTCAGTTACCTCGCTCTATCTGATTGGGACTCGGAGTTCATGCTTTCGGACCAGGATACTCGTTGCTGAGGGGATCTCCGCTGAGACGTTTTATCAGACTTTACCGCACGATCTCGGCCTGACTCGCACCTTGGGTACCACTCAAATCTCTCTTGCATTTACGTAGTACACTTTGAATTTGATTTGTTGTGTCTTCACGGAGCTGAGTCTGGCTAGGCTTGAGAGGACCTCATACGTAGTTGGACCAGACTGTGTGGCAGACTCAGATCTCTCTGATCTTTTATTTTTTTAATGGAAATTGAATTTGTTGAGGTTCATAAAACAAAACAGCCATCAATGTTTGATAATTAACTTCTAAATGAGATGGTTGACTGCTCTCCAGTCCAAATGAATTGCCGCTCCGGCTAGGAGTTCTACCTTCTCTTCTAGTTGCTTTCAAAATTGTTTCTTTCATTGGGTTCGTTAAATGCCTGCGTCTACACGATCGCAAACGAGAGAGAGAGAAAAAAGAGAGAAGCTTCTGAGTGTTGCTCTTGAGGGAGTGAGGAGAGGGAAGAGGAGTGTTCCTCCCAGAAGTGTGAGGAAGTACGAACCTCTCTTGAGAGACTTATTGACTCCAGAATGGAAGCTACAAATGGACGCTGCCCCTGAGGCAGAAAAAGCGCAGTACCTGTTCTTTTATGAGAAAGCATTGAAGAGGGAAGAGGAAGAGAAGGAGAAGGAGAGGGAAGACAAAGTAAAGGCTCATGAAGCCATCTTCAGTACTGTGCCCGCCTTAACTGATGATGAGGTGGGGGAGAAGACTGTCCCACTTCTCAGGGCCCTAGTAGAAGTCCGGGTTGTTGAAGACCATACTGGCGAACTCGCAAAGGTGTTCGACGAACTCAAGAAGTTGCGTGAGGATATGGCCCTGATGGCGCAACAACACCGTGACCAGCTGCATCAGTTTGCTAACTTGCAGCCGGCCTAAAGTGCCCTTCCACCTGCTTACCCTGCTTCTAGTGCTGCGTGTCAGTCTGTTCTTGCCCCTCTAACTATGTCTTTTTCTTCTTCTTCTTCTTCTTTGAATGTGGCCAACAACCTAACCAGATCTGCAGCAGGCCCAGACCCCGTTGTTGTTGCTGCTGCGGCAAGTGGCAGTGCAAGGCATTCTGGAACTGTTGCAGCCCCGAATTCGAACCAAGCAACCGTTGGTCCTAGCTGCAGCTTTCCTTACATGGATAGAAAGGCGGCACAGATTCCGTCTAAATACGACGGAAAGGACGACATTGAATCCTAGATCAGCTCTATGCGATCCTACTTTGATGTGTTGGGGACACTCCCGGTTACTCAGTCGTTGGTTCTAGGGACCAATGTGGAACCCGTTGTAAGGGGTTTCTTAGAAATCCAAGCTGTACAACCAGGCTATAAGATAATAGACCTGAACAAATGGCTGAAGGCTACGCTTGTAGCCACACTCGAAGAACTCTTGATCAAACAATATGCTGATCCGCATGCTGCACCCAACGTTAGACTTAACTTGACAAGCTCAAGCACAGCAAGTGGACCGGCACCATGCATAGTGTGCAGCAGTATGTTAGTGAACTTTTTGCTACTCCTGATCTGGAGATGACTGGGCAGTCTTGTTTGGATGTGATTGAAGGTACGACTCCCTCTACTATAACACATCGCCTGGGGCTCGGACTCATAGCATATACAGATTGGCTTACCACCATGCGGGATTTAGTCAAACTGGAGGCACAAGACCTCCCGGGTGGATCGAGTGGCAAAAAAACCACCGGCTGCAAACGGTTTCCAGGCAGCAACCGTTTCGCAACGCACGATCTACTTAAGTTTGACGAGGAGACCTTCACAGAGGACCCTTCTCTTGATGACGATCAAAAGCAGGATTGCGAGGCATCTTGCTCTTCGTCAGACCATGAGTCCGATTATGTGAATGATGATGAACCTGTGAATGCCTTCAAGAAGACTGCCTTTAAAAGTAAGGGACCAAGGACCACAGTGAAGAACAACACTAACACCATTCTCCTTCCCAAGGGAGCAAAGATTCCACCCAAACCGGAAGGTCCTGCCACAAAACCATGGGTAGATCTCCAGAGAAGTGAAAGTGAGTGGAAACACAGGGTGAAGAAAGGGGTTTGTCTGCATTGCACCAAACCGGGACATTCAGTCCAACGTTGCTTTAGATTGTAGCAGGGAAACCAGCAACGGGGGTAGAGACATCATCAGCACACTCTACAGACGGAGAGGCTGAACGTGTAAGTGCAGATCCTTCATTGGATTTTGATCCCACTCAGCAAACCTCTCCTGAGACCTCATCTGAGGCTGATTCCAAGGCTGAGAAAGTACACATCCTATACAAGGAGCCTTGAGTGGAGTCGGAAGAAGTCGCCTTTCATGCTCTCTTGTCGCGCTGGGCTCACACGAAGCAAGAACGCGCGCAAGGGAAAACAAAGTTGATCTTCTTCAAACTCCGCATTAACGGCCGTTACATCCGTGCGTTGGCTGATTGTGGCGCAGCCGCCAACTACTTCTCACCGCACGACATTCGTAAGGCACGCTTGGGAATGAAGCAAGTGACCTTGCAGAACCCTTGTCGGCCACAAGTGTGCAACCAAGAGGTTGTCACATCTACGCATGCAGTCAAAGGTGTGCGCACTACCTTTGACGCAGACCGCACAATCACGCATGAATTGAACTTCTATGTCCTTGATAAGTGCCCCTTCGACGCGATTATTGGCTTGGGCTGGTTGCAGGCCCAATGTGAAAGAACCACGTGGAAGGATTCACAATTCATGGTCAAAGATGCCATGGGAATCGAGCGTCCACTCCTCTTGGATGAGCTGCACGAGTCTCAAGTAACTTTTCTCAATGCGATGCAATTCTGCAAAAAGTGGCGTAGGAGCAAAGTTGATGAACAAATGTATATAACCTTTGTTAGGCCTACTCATGTGCCTTCTATTTTTGTTGTACATAATGATTCTACTTTGCATGTCGTTTCTACTTCTAATGCAACTACTTCTACCTCTACTAAATCTACTTTTAGTCCAAACGACTCTGCTTCCAATTCTGTTGTTTTGGCTGCACCTATGCAATCCGGTATGCTTGCACCAGAAAGTGATGATCCACCTCCGAAAGTCCCATCAGAAATCCGCAACCTTCTCAAACGGTTTCCTGAAGTCTTGGCCGAACCGCATGGAGTTTCCGTGCATCCGGTCCGACACAAGATCCGGTTGATAGAAGGTAGCACTCCTCCAAAAGGCTGTGTCTATCGGATGGGCTCAGGCGAATTGGAGGAGTTGCGAAGACAGATCGATGACATGATTGGGAAGGGATGGATCAAGCCAAGCGAATCCAAATTCGGTGCACCGGTTTTGTTTGTCCCGAAGAAAGGAGGCAAACTACGGATGTGTATCGACATATCCTTTGCCGCGCATTGATGATGTGCTTGATGTTGCAGGTGGGTGCAAGGTCTTTAGCAAGATCAATCTCAAGTCTGGCTACCACCAGATTGAAGTCGATCCTGCAGACCAGCATAAAACTGCATTCAAAACTCGCGATGGGTTGTACAAAAAACCGTCATGCCCTTCGCCCTCACGAATGCACCGACCACCTTTCAAAGTCTCATGGACAAGGTGTTCCACAGTCAGATCAACCGATTTGTTGTTGTGTATTTGGATGACATACTAATCTTCAGCAAGTCGATGAAGGAGTACATGAGACATCTTGAGGAGGTGTTGCAGATCCTCAAGGTTGCGCAACTCCATCTCAACTTAGAGAAATCTGAGTTTGGGAGGGAAAACGTTATCTACCTTGGACATCCGTTGTCTGCTGCAAGCCTAGAGCCCGAGGCAATCAAAGTTGAGGTCATCTGCAAATGGCCTCAACCAACGAATGTCCACGAGTTGCATTCTTTTTTTGGTCTTGTGTCATACTACCGTAAGTTTGTACCCAACTTCTCTATCATTGCCCAACCGCTGTCTAGATTGACAAGCAAGAATGTGTCCTACACATGGGATGGGAAATGCACAACAGCCTTCCAAGCATTGAAGGAGGCTTTAGCGAGTCAACCGGTGCTCCGCATTGCAGATCCCAAACTTGCATTCGTAGTAACTAAGGATGCCAATTTGTATGGGACTGGTGCAGTGTTGCAGCAAGATGATGGCGACGGCTTACGTCCGCTCGAATTCTACAGCAAACGTATGCCCAGTCACAAGGTAGCTGCCTCCACTTACATGCGAGAGCGTTATGCCTTGAGAGAGGCGCTAGATCATTGCAAGCACTATCTCTTGGGTCGCCATTTCGAAGTGTTCTCAGACCACGAGACCTTGAAATGGATTCAGGCACAGAACAATCGCTCAACTACACTGACCCGCTGGCTGCATGAGATTGTTGTGTATGATTTCGAACTTAGGCACAAGAAAGGTTGTTACAATCGCGTTGCGGATGCTTTGTCTCGCCACCCTGAGTACATGACTTGTCTTGTGGGTTCCTATGATCTCCGTAAGAATTTGAAGGAGGAACTCATTGAGCATACTGCCAAGGACCCGGAACTCAATCCCATCCTTGAGCAGATTCGGGCTGACCCTAGCAGTCAACCTGATTTCCATGAGTGTAAGGGCTTACTTTTCCGACGTTACGGGAAGCACGACCGACTGTGTGTACCCAACCATGAGCCGATCCTTACTCACTTCTTGGACTTGGCTCATGGTCGGAGTGGACACTTCGGTTTTGAGAAGACATACGGAAATCGGCTGCAAAAGTTTGTATGGCCTGGAATGAAAGGAATGGCACGAAAGTTTGTAACTGAGTGTGAAGTCTGTCAATGCATCAAATTGTCTTGGCAGAAGCCCTATGGGTTGCTGCATCCTCTTCCTATTCCTGATGGCCCGGGTGAGTCTCTTTCCATCGACTTCACGGACATGGGGAAGAAGAGTAGGAATGGAAATTCGCAAGTAATGGTGATCGTTGACCGCTTTTCAAATTTTTTGAATCTGATCCCACTACCACCTCACGCCCCAACTGACCTTGTGATCAAAGAGTTTAAAAAAAAGTATATTCTGCAGTGTGGGCCCCCGAAAACTCTTGTGAGTGACCGGGACACTAGGTTCATAAGTGCAGATTGGAAGGACTTCACTTCCCAGATCTATGGCATCAAACTCAAGATGACGTCTGGTCGACATCCCGAAGCCAATGGACTGGCCGAGGAGATCAACCAGACTGTGATCCAACTTCCCTAAGCTTTAATTGTGCCTAATCAGAACTCTTGGGATGAGGAATTGCCGATTGTGCAGGGGTTGTACAACAACTCCATACACTTCACCGTGATGACACCTAACCGGCTGCACCTTGGGTGGAAAATTCGCAATCCCCTATCTTATCTGTTTCCTGAACAACCACATGGCCTGGCACCTGGCCAGCCAGGCTACAACACTAAGTTCGATCCTTTGCTCAAAGTTGTTGTCACAGCTACGGAAAGGCGACGCAATGCCATGATTAAGCATGCAAACAAAAAGCGCCAGCCTGGACCTTTCACGATGGGAAGTTGTGTCAAGGGCAAGATGTATGAGTTTTATGAAGAAGGTGTATCACAAAATCTTATTCCTCAGTACTGCGGTCTGTGGAAGGTGCTGAGCCGAGTAAGGAATGATTCATTTGGTCCTTCTTACACGGTCGATGTGCCTCCTCATCTGCGCACGTACCCAGTTTTTCATGCATCGAAGTTGTTTCCGTATGAATCACCCGAAACTTTTAAGTATCGAGAGTCAATGATTCCTCGTGCAATCAGAGGCGATCACGAGGTTGATAGAATTGTCGAGCACAGTGGAAAGGGGAGAAACAGACAATACAAAGTTCATTTTTTGTACCATCCGTTGAAAGACTTTTATTGGATCGCTAAGAAAGACTTACTGCAGAGTGCCCCGCAAGTCGTCAACGCATATGAACGACTGATTAACTCCGAACAGCAACCTAAATTCATTGCTACCCTCACTCCTACGGAACATATTGGATCTCTCTTTGCAATTTACGCTTATGATGCATTATGCAAGGACTCTGATTGAGTTACTCGCTCGAAGGGACCTCGCTCTTGAGGGGGGAGTAGTGTAATGACCCGCCATAACAAAGACTGAAAACACTGCGGATTTCTGAAGTTTTGTCGATGGAATGGATGCCTGGTTGAGATTCCCGCATTCTGCTGTGTTTTCTAAGTCTGTATGTGTGCGTGTCTGTCTGAGTGCTTATCAGCATGAGTGTGTGTGTGACCCGCAAGGGTACTTGCTTGTTTGGCAGGCACGTGGGGCCGGTACTTACCTGTGGCTGTGGCATTGAGGGTTGCAGCAGGGGAAAACACTCACGTGGCGGAGCCAGAGGCCCGCGGCACTCAGAGCAGCGGAAAAACACTCAAGTAGCAGGTAGGCCGGTATGCACTTCGTTTGAAGGGCCTTGGTTTGGATGGTCGGAAGGACTGCCAATCCACCTTTGCCCTTTGGTTGGATAAGGTGTGACCAAGCCACCTTGGGTATGAAGTGTTGTGACACGGGGTTCCCAGTCCATAGGTAAGCAGTAGCTCGCCGTTTGAGAGCTGTAACCATGTTGTCTTCTGGCGTCCAGATGGTAGCTGCGTACCACAACATGGAGAAGATGGATGAGCAACAACGCCCTTTTGAATACCGATGTGTAGGTGGTGGACCATGTGTCCATTTTGCGTATCATCTCCATCAGCATCTCCGGTGCCATGGCCTGGTCCGGGCCTGTATCTGCGAGCTTAATTCCCAGATAGCGCAGGGGCGTTCTTGGGTTCTGCCACTCGCATCCCTCCGGGGAGGCCTCTTGAGGAGGTCGTGGACAGTCCGCCAGCCACCATCCCATGGTCTTGTGCCAGGTGACTTTCATTTCTGAAGCCAACTGGAATGCTTGCATGGATCTCCTAAGTCCCTGAAAAGATGACTCAGAGGCTTTGATAATGGCTGTGAGATTATCCGCAAAGAGTTGTGTGCTTGGTAGGGTCACCACATGTCTGGGGAGGGTTGGTTCTGCTATCAATCTTCGATAGAAGGGTCCTTTCGCAGAAAGGAGGCTATTGCTTCCATCGTAAACAGAAACAAAGGTGCCGCTAGCGGGTCTCCTTGGCGGACTGAGCGTGACATCTTGAAAGGATTGGAGAGGAAGTCGTTAAGTTGTACCTGGCTATGGGCGTCATCGTACAGTACTCTGACCCACCTTCTAAAATTGGGCCCACCCCCATCCGCTCCATACACTGCTGCTGGAAGTTCCAATTGACTTGGTCATACGCCTTTTTGAAGTCGAAGTTTCTTCCTGTTTTTTTTCCTAAGTACTTGCTGTGTCTAAGCGAGCACCTCGAAGCAGTGCCAAATTGACGGTGATTCCTTGTCTGGAGTGCCTGCAGCATTATGATGGGGGGCGCTCAGATCAGGATGTCTGTGGAAACACTCCGCTGTGTTGCTGCCCACCCGCTTGCCATATCTTTCCGTGCAGCTTGTCTGGTTGCCGTGTAGTTGGGTTGCCTTGTCAGTGTTGCTTTATGCCTCGCTGCATTGCTGGCCCGACATCCTTCAGGCCGAAAGCCTGAAACCCAGGGCTTACAGGCCCCATGTCGGATCAGGCCGAAAGCCTGAATTCCAGGGCCACAGCCCCTATGTCGTTTCAGACTAAACACGGCATCAGCCTTTTTAGCCTGAAACAAAGGGCCATTTTCGGTCGTTCATCAGAACGACCGGCCCTGAAACTCAGGCACCGAACCAGGGTTTCGGAACAGGCTATTATTAACCTGTTCCTCACGCCAGCCTTAGCAGGCTGCTGCACGCCAGCCTCAGCAGGCTGCTGCACGCCAGCCCCTGGCACACTTCGGCATTGGCAAGAGCTGCCTCCTCGGCCTGGCTCACACTTAGGAGGCAGGCCGAGGTAGTACATGGGACTTCCCAGGCAGGCAGTCGGCAGTTGTAGTCTTCAGGATTCGGGAGCGGCACTCTGGAGGGAGCGCAGCAGAGTGGTAGTGGTAGCGTTAGCTTGTAGTCCTCAGCGCTGGGCGCAGTAGGTAGCTGTAGTCTCCAGCGCTGGGCGCCATAGCTAGGTAGTACTAGAGAGAGAGAGAGAGAGAGCTTGGGCGGAGGCCAAAGGTGCTTACCTGCAGAGCCGTTGCTCCAGCTTCGTCTTCGAGGTACCTGCAGCACAACGCCAACATCACAGGTTAGTATCTGGGTCGTAACAGTGAGAGAGAGAGAGAGTTCTTCTTCTTCCTCTTCTCAGTCCACCATCTCCTTCTCCCCCTCTCAACATCTGACTTCACTGCATGTGCAGACTACGAGAGAAGAGAGACAGAGCTTGGTGACATCGRATCCAGACTCGACTTTTGGGACTTCAGACATGGCAACGAGGGATTATTTGCGATTGGTGACAAAGACTTGGTGTTGACGACATTCCCATCTCTCTCCCTCCTTTTGTCTGATCCCTTCCTCTTCG